TGCGTCCTGCGGTGCACTTCATATCTGAGAGTCAAATAGAACAGTCAAATACTGTGCTTACAGCGCTGTTTGACCCATTCACATTTTTGGGGTGATAAAAAGTAAATTTGGAGTGTGCACTTCATATCTGAGAGTCAAATAGAACCGTCAAATACTGTGCTTACAGCGCAGTTTGACCCATTCACATTTTTGGGGTGATAAAAAGTAAATTTGGAGTGTGCACTTCATATCTGAGAGTCAAATAGAACCGTCAAACACTGTGCTTACAGCGCACTTTTAAAAATTCTAATTTTTTTGGGTGCTAAATAGTACATTTGCGGACTGCGGTGCACTTCATATCTGAGAGTCAAAAAGAACCGTCAAATACTGTGCTTACAGCGCACTTTTAAAAATTCAAATTGTTTTGGATGCTAATGCTAAATAGTCCATTTGCATCCTGTGGTGCACTTCATATCTAAGAGTCAAATAGAACAGTCAAATACTGTGGTTACAACACAGTTTGACCAATTCAAATTTTTTGGGGTGCTAAATAGTACATTTGTGGCCTGCACTTCATATCTGACAGTCAAACAAAACCATCAAATACCAAAATAACAATATTGTAATTTGGGGGCAATACCCTCACAAGTCAAACTGAGAGGTCAGTTTATATCCTGTTTCCTGGATACAATTTTAAAACAATTCCCATAGGTAATTTGCAAAGTTTACATGCTGGAAAAACACAGGTGCCAACTGCTGTGGCTTTCTGCAGTGTGCAGACCGGCAAGGAGGGCATGGTTGAGTAGTGGGTGGAAGATGATGTGGAGGATGATGAGGTCTTAGACACCACATGGAATCAAAGTCATGCGAGTGACGTGTGCAGTTTGGAGGAAGAGGCGCTGGTCACACAGAGGCACCAACACAGCATAAGAGGGAGCAGGGTGCAAAAGCAGAGCGGCCGTCCCCTAGCGCTTGTCGGCATGTATTAGCTCGAGAATTACCACAGTTATCCAAGTAACAGATGGAGCAATCAAAGGATCCATAATAGAGTTGAGCGAACCCAAACTGCAAAGTTCGGGTTCGTACCAGATTTAATGAGCCATTCGAAGTTTCACATTGAGGGCAGCAGTCCGGTGACCGGGACCCAGACACTGTCTGGGCGGCAGTTGGACGACCAGGACCCAGTATGCCTGATATTGAAGTTAGGAGTCACAGTGTGGAATGGATTAGCAGGGTCTGGTGCAGGGTAACCGCACGCCCCCTGGTGTTGAGCACCTGCGTTTGTGTGTCCACATACCAGGACCCTGATGCAACTTCAGTAAAAAGAGTACTGGATACCAGAAGCCATCACCAGACTGATCCGCAACTTGGAACAGGATGTGACATTCACTGTAGCGGCTGTGCGCGCTTTCGGCGTTCTCACCCTGCTGCTGCTCGCCTGTCTGCGCTGCAGCGTAACTTTGGCCTTCCCACTAGGCTAGGACATAGGTGGCTGGATAAGAAATAAAGAGGTACAAAAAGGTGAAATGTCAGGAGGTGAGTTAAAAACAAAGGATGCGGGGGGTGGAGTCTAGCGGTTGAGGTGGCTAGATGCACATCTGAAGAGCTCCGGGCAGATCTGCATATTTAAGCTATTTTCTGTGCCTAAAATTGACCAATCTCATACCCTAAGCCTTCATGGGTCACAAGACCAAAGAGCAGATCTCTGATAAGCCCAGACCGACCATGACAATCGGAGATCACTTTCGCCAAAGGCAGAGTGCGTGTGAGCCCCAAATGGCCACGGACTTTGACGACTTCTCAGACTTCTCAGAGGAGCTTTCCCAAGACAGAAGAACCGCAGACTTACCAACCCAAGCACCGTCACAATCTGATCCCACGAAAACTGGATTCTCAGCCAGTAACGACAGAGATACTGAAGGATTTGCTACTGAAGAACCTCCAAAACACAGACGGGAGCCTTGGAGGATACAAGATGCCGCAAAAAGTTAACGATCAGAGGCACCTCGGGGGATGTCCTAACGGTGGGGCATCCGCACCTCCTAAGGAGTTTACTAACGGCCTTGCTATCACCAAAACAGACCAAGCAGATCTCCATTGATGAATGCTTCAGAGTTCCTAAGCCACGGAGAGCCCCTGAAGCGGTGCCTAGAGATGTAGTGATGCACTTCCAGAGTAGCAGCGATAAAGCTATTATACAGTCAGCTCTGAAGGGAATGTCTCCATACAAATTTGAGAACATGGAACTTACGTTCTTTTCAGACCTATCTGGAGACACACGGCAATGGCAGAGGTCCCTACATCCGTTCACCATGCCCCTTAGGAATCGCAACGTCCACTGTAGATGGCGTGGGTCGAGGATCTTCCAGGTTCTTCACGGCAACTCTGTCCATCCTGTACAGGATCAACACAGAGCGAGGGATCTCTTGGAAACCACTGGCCTTCCAAGGGACTCTATAATCAAAAAGGGGGCATCAGAAGCTAACGCACCACCCCACACATGGGACCCTGCGACTACCATCCCATTTGTTCCCCTTAGGGCCCTCACAGACTCTTATGCTGCGACCACAACCTGACAGTTTATCAGTATTAATAACACCAGGCTATATACAGTTTATTTAGTTATGTTATGTTTTTCCCTTATTGCTAGAGTTGAGCAAACCCGGACTGTAAAGTTCGGGTTCGTACCGAACATTACGTTTTTTTGGACCTGAACACGGACATATCAGTGTGTGTTCGGGTTGGAGTTCGGTGTTCGCCGATTTAATGGCGCGTTTTGAAAGGCTGCAGGGCAGTCAATCAACAAGTGTTTTACTCATTTGCCCTTAGAAGCCATCACAGCCATGCCTACTTATTCAAACTACAACGATTATTCAAACTACAGCGATTATTTTAGTGGGTGCTATACTAAATTTTTGTACCCTGCCCTGAGCCCAGTGCCACAGAGAGTGCAGTGCACTTGCAACTGCATGTGTGCCAGGCACATGACTTTGATCCTGTTCTGGTAGCTCAGTGGGTAACATCTAGGCATTTTTTTAATACTGCTTTTTTTTGGGTGCTAAATAGTACATTTGCGTACTGCATTTCTTGCAGTCTAATACAACCTTTAAATACTACTGTTACATTGTTGGTTTAAAAATTCACACTTTTTTGTGCTAAATAGTACATTTGCGTCCTGCGGTGCACTTCATATCTGAGAGTCAAATAGAACCGTCAAACACTCTGCTTACAGTGCACTTTTAAAAATTCTGATTGTTTTGGGTGCTAATGCTAAATAGTACATTTGCATCCTGCGGTGCACTTCATATCTGAGAGTCAAATAGAACCGTCAAATACTGTGCTTACAGAGCACTTCTAAAAATTCTAATTGTTTTGGGTGCTAATGCTAAATAGTACATTTGCGTCCTGCGGTGCACTTCATATCTGAGAGTCAAATAGAACAGTCAAATACTGTGCTTACAGCGCTGTTTGACCCATTCACATTTTTGGGGTGATAAAAAGTAAATTTGGAGTGTGCACTTCATATCTGAGAGTCAAATAGAACCGTCAAATACTGTGCTTACAGCGCAGTTTGACCCATTCACATTTTTGGGGTGATAAAAAGTAAATTTGGAGTGTGCACTTCATATCTGAGAGTCAAATAGAACCGTCAAACACTGTGCTTACAGCGCACTTTTAAAAATTCTAATTTTTTTGGGTGCTAAATAGTACATTTGCGGACTGCGGTGCACTTCATATCTGAGAGTCAAAAAGAACCGTCAAATACTGTGCTTACAGCGCACTTTTAAAAATTCAAATTGTTTTGGATGCTAATGCTAAATAGTCCATTTGCATCCTGTGGTGCACTTCATATCTAAGAGTCAAATAGAACAGTCAAATACTGTGGTTACAACACAGTTTGACCAATTCAAATTTTTTGGGGTGCTAAATAGTACATTTGTGGCCTGCACTTCATATCTGACAGTCAAACAAAACCATCAAATACCAAAATAACAATATTGTAATTTGGGGGCAATACCCTCACAAGTCAAACTGAGAGGTCAGTTTATATCCTGTTTCCTGGATACAATTTTAAAACAATTCCCATAGGTAATTTGCAAAGTTTACATGCTGGAAAAACACAGGTGCCAACTGCTGTGGCTTTCTGCAGTGTGCAGACCGGCAAGGAGGGCATGGTTGAGTAGTGGGTGGAAGATGATGTGGAGGATGATGAGGTCTTAGACACCACATGGAATCAAAGTCATGCGAGTGACGTGTGCAGTTTGGAGGAAGAGGCGCTGGTCACACAGAGGCACCAACACAGCATAAGAGGGAGCAGGGTGCAAAAGCAGAGCGGCCGTCCCCTAGCGCTTGTCGGCATGTATTAGCTCGAGAATTACCACAGTTATCCAAGTAACAGATGGAGCAATCAAAGGATCCATAATAGAGTTGAGCGAACCCAAACTGCAAAGTTCGGGTTCGTACCAGATTTAATGAGCCATTCGAAGTTTCACATTGAGGGCAGCAGTCCGGTGACCGGGACCCAGACACTGTCTGGGCGGCAGTTGGACGACCAGGACCCAGTATGCCTGATGTTGAAGTTAGGAGTCACAGTGTGGAATGGATTAGCAGGGTCTGGTGCAGGGTAACCGCACGCCCCCTGGTGTTGAGCACCTGCGTTTGTGTGTCCACATACCAGGACCCTGATGCAACTTCAGTAAAAAGAGTACTGGATACCAGAAGCCATCACCAGACTGATCCGCAACTTGGAACAGGATGTGACATTCACTGTAGCGGCTGTGCGCGCTTTCGGCGTTCTCACCCTGCTGCTGCTCGCCTGTCTGCGCTGCAGCGTAACTTTGGCCTTCCCACTCATGCTGGAGAGACTGTGCGAGCAGCAGCAGGCGATAGTGGAGTTTCAGCTGCAGCACGCACGGGTCAGTCGTTCTGCACCAGACTTGCCCTCCAATTGATCCTAGTTAAAGGATTTAAAGTGGACTCATTATAATTACAGGGCCTCTAAAGAGTCCTGTATTGTTATTTGTCGTCACTACCTGCCCGCATCGGAAGTGGGTAATTTGCGCGCCTGCTGCCTTCCTTGGATATGGTAGCCATTTCTCAGGCTCCCTCTCCGGAATTGAACCCTGATTCCCTGTCACCCATGGTCACCACGGTAGGCGCAGAAAGTCCATTGAAAGTTGATAGGGCAGACATCCGAATGCGTCATCGCCATCACAGGGACGTTTGATTGGCCCGGGGTTCTCTAGAGTGACCAAAGTGCCTGCACAACTATAATGTCGACAGCTGCTCTGCCTAACGGATCTTCACTAATAGATAGGGGATGGAGGGGGGCCCTGTGCCGATCCCTTCTCTTCCCCACTCTCTGGCAGACATCTGTCTCAGATCCCGAGAGATGTCTGGTCAGAAGAAGCTGTGGGTGAGCCGAGACGCTGTCCGGCTCCTGACAAAATGCCCTGCCAAGGGAATATCTTGAGCTAGCTTCACAAGCTCATACCAAAACTTCTTGGGTCTGGGGCCAGCCGTGTTGTTGGGAAGCCCATTGAAAAAGTGCTTTAGCATGACGAGCTGGGTGATCTCCTCCGGGAACTTGGCTTGATGGGAGTTGAGCCAGTTCTGCATGGCCCTTGTGATGCGGCATGCCCACTCCACATGGGAGTCCTTCTCCCCTTTCCGGGTCTCCCTAAACTTTTGGTGGTATTGCTCGGGGGTGACCGCATACCGGGCCAGGAGAATTTGTGTAATAAATGGATAGTCTCTGATCTGCTCTTCTGGTACAGCCTGGTAAATATCCGCTGCCTTCCTCACTGGCTGGCCAGGATGGCGACCCAGTCGCTGGGATCCACGTCTTTGAGTAGGCACTGGCGCTCAAAGTCTTGTA